CGGGGTGGATAAATCTGAAAACGTCACCATTGCATTTTCTTGTGTACGTCCAATCCGTATATTTTGTGAAATGATGATGTCATCACTCCACGTGTCGACTAGTCAGACAGTCAGTCACGTGTTATTTACTGAGTAATGTCCATGTATAAACATACAGTCATTTTGCCTCTGCCCAGGGACTACAGACGAAAATGAACTTAAAGCTATCTCTATCTTGGTAAACACATTTGTTGTGTTATGTCCCTGTCAAATGAACAAATGAAGAAATGTCAGCCAAGAGCACATGTCAGCCAAGAGTCTATTTCATGATGGTTATAAAACCATTACCAGGTAACCGTCATAACCTGATCTCAAATTAGTTAAAACTCTATTAATTCTCAATAAAACGTTTGTAGACGTCTGACAGAAATAAAGTCAGTCTGGTTAGTAATAACTGAAGCTGGTAATGCTGTTTGTGGAGTTCTTTAATCCTCCTCTGCTGAGATCTTCACAGATTTAATGTCTTCTTTTCTCTTCAGCTGATTTCATCTAAGGCTGTGGCTGAAATGACTCCATATTTAATATACACAATTTTTTGGGCTGCGATAAAGTCCAGTTCTGGTTTATTTCTTTGCTCTTGGCTGGCATGTGGCATTGTTAGAGGTGTAAAGTCCAGGTTCAGAAAGTAAAAGTAAAAGTATTTTGTTCCAATCACCTGGATTTGCTAATTCCGACAGGAGACAGAACTTATTCGTGAAATCAGCTAACTGAGATCATGGGTGGAATAAACATATGGCAGGACTTTTACTCTCTGACCCCTGGATTACCCAGCCCTGAATCAGGAGGAGGTTGATCTTGTCTCTGTTTCCCTCTGCTGGACAGGTCATGGTGTGACAGGAGGCATCAACTTTCATTTGATCTTAATAGTATTTGAAACTGTTCTGCCTTAAATTATCAACTATATGTCATTTAAAGAGAATAACCTAGGTCAAATGCATATTGTTTGATTGTTGTGATTAATTTCAACTTTAACAAAAAAATGTAAGTCATATTAAAAAATCAGGTTTGACTCACCAATCAGAGGGAGTTTTTTAGCCGTAGAGGGCAGTGTGTTACTAAGAATCAGCAGCATCACAGAAATAGACAGCAGTAAAGTCACTTTAAAGCTCAACTTGTCATATCCATTTTTGACAATGAAGAAGGAGGCCACATCCAGAATGAGGAAGAAAAATACTGGTACTATAATGTTTATGACATACAGTAGAGGTCTCCTTTTAATGTGAATCTGTCAGAGAGAGAGAGAGAGAGAGAGAGAGAGAGAGAGAGAGAGAGAGAGAGAGAGAGAGAGAGAGATATTTACTTTAACAGAGAGAGAGACAGAGGCATTATTTACTCTAACAGAGAGAGAGAGAGAGATTATTTACTTTAACAGAGAGAGAGAGAGAGAGAGAGAGAGAGAGAGAGAGAGAGAGATTATGCAATTTAACACTGGGAACACTAATATAATTTATAAATATTCACCATAAATCAAGACGTGTTAAATAGAGACAGAAGCAAGAAAACTAATAAAATATTCTATTCAAGTAAAAGTACTATAAATTAAACTTTACTTAAGTACAAGCCAAATTAGGTAACACTTTATAATAACTGCACGCTATTAATAATTAGTTAAGCATGAGTAAACAGTTAGTTCATCATTTATTAAGCATTAATAGACATTAATAAGCAGTTTATAAATACAGATATAAATGCTTTCTTCTTGATTTATAAGCATATCTATAATGTGTTTAATAATTGTATTTTCATACTTTGTTAATGATCAATTCATAATTTCTAAATAAAGTATAGCATTATTTACAGACCAGTTAATTAAGAGTTGTCAGTCATTCATAAGATCACTTAGAAAGTCTAAGTAAATGTATAAAGCTGTTAAAAAATAAAAATGTTATAAAGCTTTTAGTAGTGGTCAGCTATGTGACAGTTATCTTCTAAAAGCTATGTGTAGTTATCTTCTAGTCATTGATTAGCATATTCTTACATGGTCATCTATCAAGGCAAGGCACTTTTATTTATAAAGCACGTTTAAAACAGCCACTGCTGACCAAAGTGCTGTACAGTCAGTTCAAAAAATTAGAAATACATAAATACTCCAACCAACACATCATAGAGCGCATCATAAAATTACATTTGACCAAACGCCAAAGAGAAAAAATAAGTCTTTAGTGATGATTTAAAACTATCAACAGTGGGAGACAGCCTTACATGATCCAGCAAATCATTCCACAAACGTGGAGCAGCGACCGAAAAAGCACGATCCCCTTTTAATTTCAGTCTAGATCGTGGCATAGTAAGCATCAACTTGTTCGATGACCTTAAAGGTCTAGAACACTTCCTGTGGAGAAGGTCCACAATGTATTGGGGCGCCTGACCATTTAACCCCTTAAACACATATAATAATACCTTGAACTTGACACGGTATTCGACTGGCAACCAGTGAAGCGAAGCAAGAACAGGCGAAATATGTTCCCTCTTTCGAGTACCAGTAGGAAGCCTGGCGGCAGCGTTTTGTACCATTTGTAGGCAGGATAAGGAAGACTTAGCCACCCCAAGGTACAGCGAGTTACAATAATCCAGCCTAGATGTAATGAAGGCATGGATCACTATCTCTAAATCTTTTACTGTTAAAAATGCTTTTAATTTCACAATAGATCTCAAATAATAAAAGCTACTCTTCACCACTGAGTTAATTTGTTTGTCAAATTTAAGACCGTTATCAATAATCACCCCCAAATTCTTAGTATGAGCACAAGAGTTCCCTCTTAAAGGACCCAGTTGTTTTTCAATCTGTAAAGTAGAAGCTGGTGAGCCAAAAATTACAATTTCGGTTTTAGAATCATTCAGTGTTAAAAAAGTAGCTGCCAGCCAGCCTCTTACCTCCTCAAGACAGTTCAACAAAGACCTAATGTCATAATTGTCCTTATTTCCTAAAGGGAGATAGACCTGAGTATCATCTGCATAAAAGTGATATGGAATATTGTGCTTTTGAATTATCGAGCCTAAGGGGAGCAAATACAAGGAAAACAACAGCGGGCCCAAAATAGACCCCTGAGGTACACCACAAGTTAATGGTGCAGAGGAGGAAGAAAAATTCCCAACCTCCACAGAAAATGTTCTATCAGAAAGATACGATTTAAGCCAATTAAATGCGGTACCTTGAATTCCAACACAGTTTTTCAACCGTTCCAGCAAGATAGCATGGTCAACGGTATCGAATGCAGCACTGAGGTCCAAAAGAAACAAAATTGCACAGTTACCTGAATCCACAGCAAGCAATAGATCATTCAACACCTTCAGCAAGGCTGACTCTGTACTGTGATATTGTCTAAAACCAGACTGAAATTTGTCTAATAAGTTATTCTCATTTAAAAATGCCGTCAATTGATGGAAAACAGCCTTTTCCATTACTTTTGATAAAAATGATAATTTTGAAATTGGACGATAGTTATCCAAAATATAAGGATCAGAACTTGCTTTTTTGCGGAGAGGGTTCACTACTGCATGTTTCATGATTGCTGGGACGGTACCTCGAGAAAGGCTGCTGTTTATAATAGTTAAAACAAAAGGTTCAACTACACATAGGACTTCCCTAAAAAGACGAGGAGGCATCACATCCAAGGAACAAGAGGAAAGCTTCATTTTATTGATAAGCTCAACAAGAAAAGTAGAAGAAATAGGCTCAAACTCAGTTAAACAGGCTGAAGATAGCTCGTTAACAGATGTATTTAAATCAAATTTGGGGATGGAGGAGCGAATAATACTAATTTTATCCACAAAATATTTTAGAAACGCATCGCAGATTGCAGGTGTCGCATCAGGATATGAAAGTGAATTTGGGTTTAGTACATTATGTATTGTACTAAACAGAATCTTTGGACTATGGGCATGCTCTGCTATCAGGTTGGAAAAATATTTTTCCCTAGCAGCCTTAACAGAGTGCTGGTAGCTCACCATGTGGTGTTTCATAATTTCATACGATACTTGGAGCTTATCTTTCTTCCACTTTCTTTCAGCTTTCCTCCATTCCTGTCTAGAAGCACGAGTATCCTTGTTAAGCCAAGGTTGCGACCTCAACTTCAGTTTCTTGATTTTAAATGGAGCAACCACATCCAAAACATTACCACACAAAGTGTTAAAAAAAAACTAAGCTGGTCATTAAGAGACATGTCTGAAAATGAGGACACCGTAAGGCAAGCATCCCTAACAAATGCATCTTCAAAGTGTTTAGATGTAGCAGAATTAACAGACCGGATCTGACGATCACAGGACTTGACATTGAGCTTCGGGGTATTGAGTACAGTGTTAAATAATAAAATCTCTATATTACTGACAGAAAGACCTTTTGAAATCAGCAAATCAAGTGTATGGCCTTGTTTATGAGTAGCTTCTGTGATGGACGTGAGATTAAAAGAGTCAATAATTTGAAGAAATTCCTTAACCAATGGATGAGAGGGACAACAGACATGTATATTAAAATCGCCTAAAATTAATAGTTTATCAAAATACAGTACCCTAGAGGATAAAAAATCTGAAAATTCCTGCAGAAACATCTTACTGTAATAAGGTGGTCGATAAAACAAGGCACAGAGAAGGGAATTCTCTGTACTTATCTTAAGTACTTGAACTTCAAAACTACTAAAAGTGTCCACTGATAATAGACAACACTTGAAAGAATTCCTAAAAATTGTAGCTACTCCCCCCACCACCACGACCCGATGTCCTAGGAGAACTAACAAAATTACAGTCATCTGGTGCCGCTTCGGCAAGAGGGCCAAGTTCATCACAGCTTAGCCAAGTTTCAGTTATAAACAAAAAAATCCACATCACGTGATAAAAAGAAATCGTTATCTGTTCATGTAAATAATAGGGTTGGTGTAGTTCCTAAGTCCTTAAAGAGCTAATTCTGTAAAATAAAATATTTCCTTTGCATTGAACTTTGAGCATTGTAACTTTGCAGATGTTGTTTATGCTCAAACGACAACATTACACACTAAAGTTGGAAGGTGAAATTATAATAAACCACCACTAAAAAAATATTAAGGATAAGTTTTGATTAGACACTCAAACCTTCATCTAAACCTCTTACGTCGGTCGCGCTTATCTTCCAGGTTTTGTAGTTTAAAGGGATACACCACCGGGTTTTCATATTAAACTATGTTATTCCCTTAACTAAGACGAGCTGATGCATACCTCTCTCGTCTCAGTGCGTGCACTCTATCGCTCTGTATTGCCGCAAAACTATGTTAGCACTTAGCTTAGCCCAGTGTATTAAATATGGGCCAGAAAGAGAAGCGACAAAACACTTCCTCGTTTTCCCTATTTAACCCTTTGATGCACAACATGGGTCTAAATAGACCCGACTGAGTTTTCATTTTGTATATCTTTGCAAGAAATTAATTTCATCACTCAGTATTCCAGGTATTCCTCAATTAACTTGTTTTTGATCATCACAAATCCTTATTTTTATTTTTCATTTCTTACTTTTTGAATAAAAATAGTTTTTGTATAGCAACCCTTCTAATGCGCAACATGGGTCTAAAAAGACCCGTATTCATTTCCTATGGTATTTCAGGGATGGCTGAGTGTTTTCTTTGCTGAATCTTTAAAATATATGTATTTTATCATTTCTTATTCCAGATATTCATTAAATAACTTGTTTTTAATTTCCACAAATCATTGGGTTTATGTTTCCTTTCTTACTTTATAAACAAACACAGTTTTTGTATTTCTACATCAATTTTACATACATGGGTCTAAAAAGACCCGTATTCATTTCCTATGGTATTTCAGTGATGGCTGAGTGTTTCTTTGCTGAATCTTTAAAATATATGTGTTTTTTTAACATTTCTTTTTCCAGGTATTCATTAAATATCTTGTTTTTGATTTCCACAACTCATTATGTTTATGTTTCTTTTCTTACTTTATAAACAAACACAGTTTTTGTATTTATACATCAATTTTACATGGCTCGAAAATGACCCATATTCATTTGCTATGTTATTTCAGTGATGGCTGAGTGTTTCTTTGCTGAATCTTTAATTTAAAATAAGTTTTTTTAATCATTTCTTATTCCAGGTATTCATTAAATATCTTGTTTTTAATATCCACAAATCATTATGTTAGGTATTTTTAATTTATTTCTACATCAATTTTACATACATGGGTCAAAATTTTTTATTAATCTTATTTTATTTTAACCACAGACATTTTTTATATATATATTGTAAA